AATGACTGGGGATTGTTTAGCTGACCAATGATGAATTATTATAAAGCTATAATTTTGTACATAAGCATGTCTCTGTACACACACACACACACACACACACACACACACACACACACACAGAAGCTACATATTCAGTAGTTTCACCTTATCTGCAGCTCGTGGGGAACACTTAACAAACCAGTGGGTGGCATGCTAAAAGATCTTTGGAGAGTTAGGGAGCTTCGGTGATGGGCACATGAGGTGCGCAGGTTTTGCACTCTGGATCTCGTGAGGTTCATTAATCTACCTCCTTGTGAATGTGTCACCTAAAACGATAGGAAGAAGGCAATGATTTCCTCTGCGCTGAATCATCCCTTTACACAATCCCTCCTTCTGAAACAGTAAACCTCTTCCAAGGGCAACCCTTTCCTCATTGTTGTGTGCATGTGTGCACATACATGCATGCATGCACACACACACACACACACACACACACACACACTTGACTCTTCTGTTCTTTTAGCATCCTGCATTTTTTGCTCATCATGGTTGGTCTGAGACAGCAACTGTTTTTTCCTCCATCAGCCTCCAGTTGACCTCGAGAATACATCATCATCAACAGCTTACCAACTCAAAATCAACAAACATCCCTTTGGTGGAGCTCTATTCTAACTGCATCCGTCCCAAGAGCAGGGCTCATTCTGTGTCCTGCCGCCAACCACCATCTCTATTCCTGCCAAGCATGCTTGCTTCTCTTCATTATCCTGATGAGCGCTTTCTCCGGAGCCGCTGCACGGTCACTTCTGCCTTCTGGAAATGCTGCATCACGTTCTCCTCAACTCTTCATCCTACTATGCATTGAAGAGGTGCACAGTCCCTTTCCGTTATCCTGAGACTCCTAATGGCTAATGCCATTTTATTTTGATCTGCTGTTCTGCACTTAAGGACTAAATTGCACAAGAATTAAAATCAGCTTTAGCATCTGGCTGAGGTTGAGATGAAGGAAGAAAATGCAATTAGCAGGAAATTATAAATTAATGAGAATTAACAAAGGAGCGAGTATATTATCAGCCTTAGATAGCTAGAAAATTAAATTACCCATAATGAGCAGAAAGCACTCATTACGGATTTTCCTCACTGTGAGCAAGTCCCGGCAGCTCCTGCAGAGGCAGAGTTTCGCCAGTCCCAGAGCTGCTCTTAGCTGTCAGCCCACGGTTCTATATCTAAAGAGAAGAAGCATCATTAT